AGCATAGGAGTCGAATCAGATTTTTAGATTTCGCACCTTTGTTATCTTTGTACCCTTCTTTATGTGAGCCACATTGGCATAAAATTCTTTAACCAAGTGCTCATTTGCGTCGATGACACTTTGGGGAACCATTTCCATCCCTTTCGCTCCTGGAACTGTCTAAGGACATTTGGATTGTGAATGTCCAAATCCTTCATCAAGAATTGTTGCTCAAGTGTGAGCAATCTCTGGGGTCACCACTCTCTGAATCTATTGAAGGCAATTAAACTGACGAATTTGTCTTCCCATATCTCTATTCTCCTTGACCTCTCAAGGCCGCCCACTCGAGTGTCACCTCCTCTCCCATCATTCACGACATCTTCATCATCATCTACATTGATTGGTGCAGCTGGGGCATGTGAGGAAGAGGGCTCAGAATCTTGGCTACCCTCTTCCAAACCTTTAGAAGAACTAGCAGCGGAAGAGGATTCATCTACCAAGTGGAATCTACCCGGGACTTGTTGAGATTGGGTATCAGGCATTGCTTGCACAGAGTTACCCTTAGAAGCTTCCCTTGGTAGGAGATACTCACTGGACTCGGGGGGTTCAGGAACTATGTTGGCGGTTGCTTTCTTGCTTATGGCTCTCTAAAAGGCAAGTGGTAGGATACTCTTGCCTCGGCCTCGGCCTCGGGAGGGCTCACCCATCCCTTTTGATGCATCACCTCTGCCCTATGATCTAACCATTGTCTGCAACACATAACTGGTAATCATTTAGAATTAAATCTCATAGTGTATACAGATGCATGCTTGATAGTTGCAGTAAAGCAGACTTAGAAGAGGCAGTGCAGACCTTACAAAATTGAGTGCGGTCGCAGAGTGCCAAGTGCAGCCCGCAAATTTTTAAAGTGCGGTCGCACAGCTTGTTATGCGGACCGCACAATTTTGAGTGCAGCCGCATAAGCCCAGGTTCAGACTACTGGGTCTCTGATCATTTAACAGTGCGAACCGCATAATTTTCACTATGACCGCATCATTTCCCTATGGACCGCATATTTTTGAGTGCAGTCCGCACAATTCAAGCACACAGATGCCCAAACTTAGAGAACTGTAGACCGTACAAAAATGTGTGTGGCTGCACAGTTTGAATTTTACGCGGTATTACGCTAGGGTTCATGCAATTTTTCACAAATTAGATATAGTTTGCACAAATTGACAAGATTAGTGGTCTACCCAGCCCCTAATAAACATATACGAAGCTACCCATATGATTCTGAAGCACATTTGATATTTTTAGACCTAAAAATAACTAAACTAATCAAAGAAAATAAAAAAGATTAAGAAGAACCAACAAAAATTTAACATACCAGTAATGAATGATGCAGGTGAGAATCTAACTTGATAAAATGAGGAAAGATTTAGAACTAATGGGATATGCATTATGTTTGCTTACAGAAGTCAGAGAGCGTTAAGTGTGAATAGTGGTGAAAAGCCTTATTTATAGGTTGACCCAGTCAGTCAAAAATGAAGCTGAGTGCAGCCGCACAATTTTGAGTGCGGTCCGCACTCTTTACCTGAACATTTGATGAGCTCTGTGGTCCGCACAAAAGTGAGTGCGGCCATAGAATTTTTGCGGACCATACTATTTTGTGTACAGCCGCAAAGTGTCAATGAAATTTGACAGGCCAATCTTCAGAGAGAATGCATTTTTGGTCTTCCAGTTGTGCGACCGCACACAAAATTGTGCGGCCGCAGAGTGATTGAGCGGTCCGCATAATTCTGGTGCGGTCCGAATTTTTGTGATACTTAATCAATTTTTCTTGCACAGTCCCTGAAATGCACATCCATTCCTGCATACACTTCAAAACTAGTTAGCACAAAACAAAGCCTATCTAATCTAAAGAAGAAAACAAGAAAAAGAAAAAGACACATGGGTTGCCTCCCAAGAAGCGACTGATTTAACATCGTGGCATGATGCAGATTACCAATCATTTGAAATTGAAAACCGCCATAATGTGTCCATCATCAACCTTGCCAAGATAACCTTCTTTAACTTGCCCGGAAATATTCGTAACTAGGAATTGAACAATAGCACAAGATCACCTTCTTTAAACTCCTTGTTGTGGATGTACTTTTCATGGAGGTACTTCATCTTCTCCTTGTAAAGGAATGAGCTTGTGTAGGCATTATACCGAAATTCATCTATCTCATTCAATTGTGACACCCTTAGGTTTGCGGCGACATTCCACTCAAGGTTCAACTTCTTCAAATCCCACATGGCCTTATGCTCAAGTTCCACCGGAAGATGACACGCCTTCCCAAATACCAATGGATATGGAGACATCCCAATCGGTATTTTGTAGGCCGTCCTATAAGCCCAAAGAGCACCATCAAGTTTTCTTGACCAATCCGTCCGGTTGGCATTCACAGTCTTTGACAAAATACTCTTGATCTCCCGGTTGGAGACTTCAACTTGTTTGCTTGCTTGAAGATGGTAGGGGGTCGAGACTTTCTGAGTGACACCATACTTGGTGAGTAAGGTATCAAAAGCCTTGTTGCAAAAATGCGAACCCCCGTCACTAATAATGGCCCTAGGAGTACCGAATCTTGTGAAGATGTCCTTCTTCAAAAATGCCCCCATACTTCAAGCTTTGTTGTTGGGTAAAGTCGCGGCTTCAACCCATTTTGACACATAGTCCACAACTACCAAAATGTAAGTGTCCCATAAGAGCTCACGAACGGTCCCATGAAATCAATACACCAAACATCAAAGATATCAATTTCCAAGATGGTGGTGAGGGGCATCTCATTCTTCTTAGAAATCCTACTGGTGCTTTGACATTCATCACAATGCTTGACTAGATCACTAGCATCCTTGTAGAGAGTAGGCCAATAGAATCCACAACTCAACACTTTTGTAGCCGTTCTCGCTCCACCATGGTGACCACCATACGGTGAAGAGTGGCAAGCCTCAAGAATTCCCATTTGTTCTTCCTTTGGCACACATCTTCGGATCACACCATCGGTACATATCCGGAAAATATATGGCTCATTCCAATAATAGTCAAGGCATTCCTGTTTGAGCTTCTTCCTTTGGTTTGAAGAGAATTCATTCGGTACAATGCCGCTCACAAGATAATTGGTTAAATTGGCAAACCACAACATCCCGATCATTGAAATGGCTAGCAATTGCTCGTCGGGAAAGGAATCATTGATCTAAAGGCCGTCATGTGGCCTCCCCTCCTCCTCCAAACGAGACTAGTGGTCCGCCACTTGGTTTTTACTACCCTTGCGGTCTTGAATCTCTAGATCAAACTCTTGCAATAAAAGCACCCACCACATCAATCTTGCCTTATAATCTTTCTTACTCATCAAGTATCGAAGCGACGCATGGTCGGTGTGAACAATCACCTTTTTTACCTATCAAATACAGGCAGAGCTTCTCTATAGCAAAAACAATAGCAGGTAGCTCTTTTTCGGTCACTATATAATTGACTTGGGGATCATTCATGGTCTTGCTAGCATAGTAGACCGAATGGAAGATTTTGTTGATACATTGCCCCAAAACTACTCCAACCGCCACATCACTAGCGTCACACATGAGCTTAAAAGATAAGCTCCAATCCGGTGCGGTGATAATAGGAGTAGTAGTCAACTTGAACTTGAGCAATTCGAATGCCTTCATGCAATCTTCATTGAAATGGAACTTGGCATCCTTCTCCAAAAGTTTACACAAAAGGTTTACCACCTTGGAAATGTCCTTGATGAATCGGCGATAGGACCCCGCATGACCGAAGAAGCTCTTCATTCCCTTCACGGATGTAGGGGAGTTTGGAGATCACCTCAATTTTGGCCTTGTCGACCTCAATACCATGCTTTGAAATTTTGTAGCCGAGGACTAGGCATTCATCGACCATGAAGTGACATTTCTCCCAATTCAACACCAAATTTGTCTCCTCACATCTAGCTAAGACTCTATCCAAATTGTTCAAGCAATCTTCAAAGGAATTCCCAACCATGGAGAAATCATCCATGAAGGCCTCAAGAATATCCTCTACCATGTCTATAAAAATAGCCCTCATACACCGTTGAAAAGTCACATGTGCATTACACAAACCAAATGGCATCTGCGAAAAGGTGAAAGTACCATATAGACAAGTTAAAGTGGATTTCTCTTGGTCCTCGGGAGTAATAAGGATTTGATTGTAGACGGAGTATCCATAAAGGAAGCAATAAAAAGCATATTCGGCCAACCTATCAAGCATTTGATCAAGAAATGGAAGCGGGAAATGATCTTTCCGAGTGACTTTGTTGAGTTTCCTATAGTCCATGCATACTCTCCACCCGGTGACAGTTCTTGTGGGGATCAATTCATTCTTGTCATTTGTTCACATTTCATTGGAGAGGTCCACGAGTTATTGGAAATGGGGTAAACAACCCCGGTATCCAACCACTTCATTATCTTCTTCTTTACCACCTCTTGCATCGCTTCATTTAGCCTCCTTTGATGTTCAACGGATGATTTAACACCCTCCTCCAAAATAATCTTGCGCATGCAAAAGGCGGGGCTAATGCCCCGGATATCTGCCAATGTCCATCCGATTGCTCTTTTCCTCCTTTGTAGTACCTCCAATGTGGACTCTACCTGCATGTTAGTTAAACAAGAAGAAAGTATAGCCAATAAAGTATAAGAAGGGCCAAGGAATTCATACCTGAGATGTAGAGGAAATGGCTTTAACTCTAAAGTGGGAGGCTCCTCGATTGAGGGCTTTGTTGGAGGAGTCTTCCGATTTTCAAGATCCAAAGATAGCTTGCGGGGTTCATAAGTGTACGAACTCATTCTTGCAATGCATTCATACACTCCACATAGCCTTCTTTCTCCTCAACATCATCAAGGTTGAGCAAAACGGCTTCCAAATTATCCTCTACCTTCATTGTGGCACTAACATCATCAACAATCACGTCGGTGACCAAATCCATGAACGAACACACTTCATTACTAGTCGGTTGCCTCATAGATTTTCACACATAAAAGACCACATTTTCGTCACCCACCCAGAAAGTGAGCTCATCGGCTTCCATATCGACAAGAGCCTTCCCCGTAGCAAGGAAAGTTCTACCCAAAATGATAGGCACCTTATAGTCCACTTCACAATCAAGAATCACAAAGTCCGACGGGAGGATGAACTTGTCAACTCAAACCGACACATCATCAATAATGCCCAAAAGTCTCTTCATTGTACGATCCTCCATTTGCAACCTCGTAGATGTGGATCTTGGTTGCCCAATTCCCAAAGTTTTGAGCATCGAATAGGGCATCAAATTGATACTTGCCCCAAGAACACATAAAGCTTTGGAAAAGTCAGCACTCCCAATAGTGCAACAGATTGTGAAAGCATAAGGATCTTTCAATTTCGGAGCCATTGAGTGCACAATAGCACTCACTTGATATGTCATCTTGATCATCTCACTGTTAATTGATCTTTTCTTGGTCACCAAGTCCTTTATGAACTTTGCATAACCCGACATTTGCTCTAAAGCCTCAACCAATGGTACATTGATATACAAACTCTTCATCATGTCAATAAACTTTTTGAATTGGTTCTCACTATTTTGCTTTGCAAGCCTTTAAGGTTATGGAGGAGGAAGCCTTGGCATTGGTGCCGTAGCCTTCGGCACTACCGGTTCCGGCATGTCAATCACGTGTTCCCTAGACGGGTTCACTTCTTCTTGCATCTCCTCCACATTTTCATCAATATCAATTCTCACTTCTTCATTAGCTTGAACCACATTGCTTGGAATTTCATCTTCTTGACCCACAACATCTTCATCCACAATTCTTCTTTGATTTGAGATGGTTGCATCTCCACTTTTCCACTTCTTGTAGTCACAGCCATATCATGTCCCGTATTATTCCCACCCTTTGGGTTCACCACCGTATCACTAGGTAGTGCCCCCTTAGGACGAGTGTTCAAAGCTTGCGATATTTGGCCTAATTAAACTCCAAACTTCGAATAGAGGTGTTGTCAGAGGCTAGTTGAGCATCTGAATTGACAATCTTCTCCATCATTTGTTTAAACATGTTCTCAATTCTATCCATTTCATTGTTAGAAGAGCTCAGACCTTGAGGAGGATAGGGGTGGATTTCTCGGTTATTGGAACATCGGGGGTCTTTAAAAACCCGACCCTCCGTTGTTGTTGTTGTTGTTCCACCCTCCTTGGTTATTGCCTCCCCAATTGCTTCGATTGTTGCCACCCCAATTGCCTTGATTATTGCCTTCACAATTACCTTGGTTAGCTTGATTATTCCAATTGCCTTGATTATTGTTACTACCACTCCAATTGCCTTGGTGGCCTTGGTTGTTCCAATTTCCTTGATTTCCTTGTGACCTCAATTGTTGTTGATTTTGTCTTTGAGCATTGTTTCTTTGGCCTTGATAATTATTAACATATTGCACTTCTTCTTCTTGCTCATTGAATGAATCGCCTTGATCATAACCATTATCATCTTGCATGAATTGCTCCGGACGGCTTTGAATTTGTTGACCTTGTTGTCGTCTCTTGTTTATAAGCATATTCACACCTTCCATCGCATTTACTTGTTTCGGCCTTTGAACTTGTTTAAGCTGAGCTTTGGCCAATTGATTCATTGTAGTTTTCAACTCGGCGATAGCTTGCCCATGATCATGTAGTTCCTTGTGAAGGTAAATTACATTAGGGTCACCTTGAGGAACATTGGCTCTACTTTTCCATGCCGATAAGGTATCCGCCATCTCATCAAAAATTTCACAAGCTTCAGCATAAAGAGTGTTCTTGAAGTTCCCACCAGCAAGTTGATTTACCATACATTGATTTGTTGTATTGATCCCTCTGTAGAAGGTTTGTTGGATCATGGCCTCGGTCATATCATTATTCGGTCACTCTTTAACCATGGTACAATATCTTTCCCAAATCTCGTGCAATGGCTTATTGGGTTCTTGCTTGAACCCGAGAATCTCATCTCGAAGTGTAGACATATGCCCTAAAAGAGAAGAATTTGTCAATAAATTTCTCCTCTAACTCATCCCATGTATGGATGGAATGATTGGGCAATCTCTCTAACCAGTCCAATGCATTTCCCCATAGAGAAAAGGGAAATAGCCTCAACTGCAGCGCATCCTCAGAGATATTGGTTTTCTTGCTCCCCCAACAAGTATCGACGAACCCTTTGAGATGCTTGTAAGCATTTTGACTCGGAGCCTCGGTGAAGAATCCCTGTTACTCATGTAGTGTAAGCATCACATTGGTGATTTGGAAGTTGCCCACCCTAATGCACATGCATTAGGGTGGTAAAGGTGGGGGAGGGACGGACTATAGCATATGCATAACCCTCGTTCGGCAATACCAAGTGTGCCGCCGCTCTTGGTAGAGGTGGGGGAGGGACGGAAACAATATCTTGAGGCGGTCTGCCTTACCTATTTGCTTGAAGTTCGGGAAGAACCTCATCTCCTTGATCATCGTCCGCTTCCTCCCCCAATGGCACATTTTCGAAGGGCTCGTTGTTGAGAGCCATTCTCGTATCTATAATCAATTCAAAAACAAAGTTAGTGACCCGGAAGGAAAAGAAGACAAATCACACAAAAACCTAGATATATAACTAAATCTGTTTAACTCCCCAGCAACGATGCTAAAAATTTGATGCCGCCCAAACTCACACCACAAATATAGGTTGTGAGGCGTTCGAAGCAATAATAAAAACCCAATGCAAGTCGGGTCGAATCCACAGGGAGTTAGATATAGGATTAAGTATATGTATAGACTAGGTGTATGATGTGCCCAATATTGTACTTCCACATATTTGGTTGTTTCTTTCTACTTCTATTGATTATGTTAATGTTTGCAAATGAAAAGCTAAGATACAATATTTTTGGTTTTGTTGTTTTTCGAGTTGATAAAAGGTCTAGGGTCGTGACTTCCACCTAGGTGGTTACGTAACGAGTTGTAAACTCTAGGGTAAGTTTGATTGGTCGGGGTTATAATATAGCAATCACATGCAATTACCCACTCAATATCTCTCGGTGGTTAGAGTGATTCTGCCCAATTTGGCTTTCTCAAGTCCAAATGGGTATTGCACAAAACAAGTGATAAATGCTCAAGTCGGGTCTTACTATCTCTAGATTTAATCCTTTAATTGGGGTTATCAACTTCTTGAGTTCACCCCAATTTCTTGTTAACCAAAATTTCCTAGACTTAGACTTTCTTTCTCAAGTAGAGACTAAGTCAATTAGGCATGAATCAATGTTTGCAACCATTAACTCTTTAATTCAAGCAAGAACTAGGCTAAATATTACTAACCCAATCACAAACAATCCCTAAATCAAACACCCATTAAGTACCCACACTAGGGTTGGGTCACAACCCTAGCTAAAAATTTAGCTACTCATAGAAAATGCAGAAATTAAAGAAACAATTAAGATGAAATCTATAATAAAAGATTAAGGGAAGAGAATCTAATGTTAAAATACTAAACTAATACAATGTTACCCAATATAGTAAAGAAAAATGGCTCAGGTGCTCTCCCAAAACAAACATAACCTAAAAATGACAAAAAGTTCTATTTATACTAAGCTAAATATATCTGACAAAATTGCCCTTGTGGAGGTTGTGCGGCCGCATAATTATGTGTGCGACCGCACAATGAGACTTGGCTTGACAGGTTCCAGTTCTGCGGCCACACAATTCTGGATTGCGGCCGCACTCATTCAACTTTTGCGGACCGCACATTTATGAGTGTGGCCGTGCTCTTGCTTCTACAGTCGCACAATTATAGTGCCGTCCGCACTTCTTAATCTTGGGCTTTGGCTGTGTGAGACTTCTACGGACCTCATAAAAATGAGTACGGCCACGCTCTTGATTATATGGCCGCACAAAAATGGTGCGGTTCGCATTTCTTCTTGAACTTAAAATCCCATCTATCTGATCTTTGTCTTCTACGGCCGCACCAGAATTGTGCGGTCCGCACTTTGCATGTCATTTCTTGTCAAAGGTTTTCTTCATGATGTGTGGTCGCACTCAATATTGTGCGGTCTGCACAATGCCCTTTTAGCCTTATTTCTGTCCTTGTCCAAAATTACTCATTCTTGAGTTGATTTTCATCTCTTTAGCTCATGTTCTATCATTCCTGCAAGCAAGCACATTTCATTAGTTTTCGGGAGTACCTTTAAGAAATTTTGCTCTAAAACAAAAGTATTATAGAGCAAATAAGTAGTCAAAATCCCTACTTATCACAGGGTCGTGTTTGTGTGCCTAAAGTGTATGGACTTCGTGAGTTGATTATTGAGGATGCCCATAGTTCCCAGTATTCTATTCATCCGGGCACCACCAAGATGTATCAGGAATTACGGCAGTATTATTGGTGGAGGAGAATGAAGAAGGATATAGTTGCATATGCATCTCGGTGTCTAAACTGTCAGCAAGTAATGTACGAGCATCAGAGGCCTAGTGGTTTGCTTTAGAAGATAGAGATTCCTGAGTGGAAGTGGGGGGGTGTCACTTATAGATTTCGTTGTTGGACTCTCATGGACTCATAGGAAGTTCGATGTAGTTTGGGTCATTATGGATAGGCTGATCAAGTCAGCACATTTCATTCCTGTGGCAGTTACCTATTCTTCAGAGCAGTTGGTAGAGATTTATATCCCCAAGTTGATAAATAGGGATTTTGACTGTTTATTTGCACTTCTCTACTTGCGTTTTAGCTCAAAATTTCTTAAAGGTATTCCCAAAAACTAATGAAATGTGCTTGTTCGCATGAGTGTTTGAATATGAGCTAAAGAGATGAAAATCAACTCAAGAAGGAGTAATTTTGGATAAGGACAAAAACAAGGCTAAAAGGGCGTTGTGCGAACCGTATAATATTGAATGCGACTGCAGATCATGAAGAAAGCCTTTGACAAGAAATGCTCTACATAGTGCGAACCACACAATTCTGGTGCGGCCGCAGAAGATAAAGTTCAAAGAGATGGGATTTTAAGGTCAAGAAGAAATGAGGACCGCACCATTTTTGTGCGGCCGCATAAGCAAGAGCGCTGCCGCACTCAAAAATGTGCGGTCCGCAGAAGTCCCACAATGGCAAAGCCCAAGGTCAAGAAGTGCGGACAACACTATAATTATGCGGCGCGCACTCATAAATGTGCAGTCCACAGAAGTTCAAGGAGTACGGCCGCAAACCAGAATTGTACGGCCAGAGAACTGGAACCTATCAAGCCAAGTCTCAATGTGCGGACCGCACACATAATTGTACGGCCACACAACCTTTGCAGGGGCAATTTTGTCAGATATTTTCAGCTTAATATAAATAGAACTTTTTATCATTTTTAGGTCAAGTTTTGTAAGTTGGGAGCACCTGAGCCATTTTTATTTACTGTATTGGGTAACATTGTACTAGATTAGCTTTTAAACATTAGATTTTCTTTCCTTAATCAAGTATTATGAATTCTATCTTAGTTTCTTCTTTAATTTCTTCATTTTCCATGAGTAGCTAAACTCTTAGC